GAGAGAGAGAGAGAGAGAGAGAGAGAGAGAGAGAGAGAGAGAGAGAGAGACAGAGTTGTGTGTTATCGATTGCTTCGTCTTCTTTTTCCGCCTGGTCTTCTTGTGTTTCTTCTTCTTCTTCTTCTTCTTCTTCTTCTTCTTCTTCTTCTTCTTCTTCTTCTTCTTGGCCAGCGCTTATTTCTTCAGTCTATGTTACCGCGCGTTCATTGAACGCGCGTTCCGCGTTCAGTTTATGAACGCAGTGAACGCGCGTTCACTGAACGAGCCTGAACGCGATTGACGCGTTTGCGCAGGGGGCTGTGCGGGGTGGGGGGGCCCTTTGGGCAGTGTGGGAGCGGCGGCGGCGCTTGGGGGGGTTGTGGGCATTGTGGGGAGCAGCGGCGCTGCTTGGGGGGGGGTTGTGGGTCAATGCCCCACACAAAACGAGAGGGAAAAAAAAAAAGTGTGTGAATGTGTGTGTGTGCAGACAGCCCATGCAGGCTTTCTGAAGGGGGCAAAAAACACCCCCCAGGAGGCCCACCACCCCGTAGGGAGCAGCGGCGCTGCTTGGGGGGGGCTGTGGGCCAATGCCCCACACAAAACGAGGAAAAAAAAAAAAAAAAAAGTGTGTGAATGTGTCTGTGTGTGTGTGTGAATGCTCTTTTTTTTTTTCCAAGGGGGGGGTTGGGGGAATCCCCCAACCACGGCTCAGACAGCCCATGCAGGTTTTCTGAAGGGTCCTCGCAGCCATGTGGTGCAGACCCCCCCCCACCAAAGTCAAGCACAAGAGCAGGAGCTGGCCGAATATATACTCAACATTCGGATTCAGGACTGTGTTTCTGCAGTTATGGGTTGCTCACGTAGCTAGGCCCCTGATTCTCAGGGCTTGGCTGCACTACTCACCAAATGTGCAAAACTAGAATGAATCTTCTGCAGAACGTGGAATAATACGCCGCCATATGTTGTTTTTTTTTTCTCTCATTCTTCTTTTCTTTTGTTTTCTTTTAGGGCCACTGCACGTATTCCTAAGAAAAGAAAAACGAGAAAAAAAGAAAAACGATAAAAAAGATAAACGAGAAAAAAAACGAGAAAAAGAAAAGAAAAGACATATGACGGCGTATTATTCCACATTCTGCAGAAGATTCATTCTTGTTTTGCACATTTGGTGAGTAGTGCAGCCAAGCCCTGAGAATCACGGGCCTAGCTATGTGAGCAACCCATAACTGCAGAGAGAGAGAGAGAGACCTTAATGTTGAGTATATATTCCTCTTCTTCTTCTTCTTCTTCTTCTTCTTCTTCTTCTTCTTCTTCTTCTCTTTCTTCTTCTTCTTCTTCTTGTTTTTGTTCTTCTTCTTCGCGGCATTTTTCTTCGTCTGCGCGTCCAGCAGTGCTTCGTCACCCCAGCCCATTTTCTTCCTCGCCGCCTCGTCTTCTCCTTCTTCTTC